AAAATATCTGAGTGGACACTCACTTGATCTAACGGTCCAAAATGCATCTAAGGCCTTCAAGGGTCTCTTCCACGTACCAACGAAAGGAAGAAAAAAGCTTAATATTTATTATTTTAATATGAGCAAGGTTCCTATGCTTTTACGGTAAAAGACAGGGAAAATATATAATGAAACTGTTTACCTTTCGCATAAGGTAATTTATTTATTGGCCATACTCATAAAACAAAATAATTTATTTATTCATTGGCCAAACTCATAAAACAAAATAATTTATTCATTGGGCAAACTCAAAGTTAAAAAAAAAAGTTTTCAAAATTTATGACATACTCAATTTATCATATTTCACATCGGATGATTACAAGTAATTATGATCTCCTTGTGTAAATGGTATCATTGTATACAATTTTTAAAAGATATATATTTCCCCTCCCATCCATCTAGCCGTCTAATTTATACCAAGTGAGTCATTCACCATTTGATCTAGATTCAACGCTTTTGAGTATTTTTTTTTTAATTTTTTTTTTACAGATTGTATGAATACGAAATTTTGTACGTGCCATCGTCTCAATGGGGTGCACCTAGGAAAAATATTAAAAAGAATTTTTTGATAAAATATAATGACCAAAATATCTCTTGAAACTTTTAAAGGTATTTTAATTATTTTATTTTATTGAAAATATTGTTTTTATATTTTTTACAACTGCGAGTTTAATAGAGGAGTGAACGTCCAAAATTTGGTGTCAAAATAATTATAAAAAAAATTTAAAAAATAAAATAGTATAAAATATGATATTGTGATTGAGGCCATCTTAACTGTCCATTCAGAATAAACGGTTAGATTAGGGGAGTACATAAGTCTTATGTTGTAAGGGAAGCATAGAAAGCTTGCCCATTTTATTTTGGGTGAGGTTTGTATAAGATGTCAACCTAATACTATTGAAGGAAGGTGTATCTCAAAACTATGCTGAAGATGCAGTACTAGTGCCGCAAAGCCTAGTGAAGATATGAAAACGTATTGTTGCCATAATTATGAAATTTTAATATTCAGAAATAGTGACTATCAAACATACTCATAAAAACTTGAAAATCTTGAAAATGAATGTTCTAGATATGTGTTAGAAGATGAACTATTTTTAAGACTAGAAATTCCCTTTGAATCTCGAGGTCGAGATGATCGATTTAAGGACAACACCTCCCCTATATGTTTTTTTAGGTGCACTTTATTCGTGTAAACAACATTCCCTAATGGGTTTTTTAGGTGCATCTTATTAGTACAATATAAGGTTGATATGTTATATAAATTTTTTTAATATATATGTTTTTTTATATAAGGTGTCAACTTTATACTACCTTTTATATTATAAATACATGACATAAGAGTTAAGTAAATAAAAAAAAGAAAAAAAAAAGAAGTCTGCCAGCTTTGGCCCGAACTCGGGCCAGCCGTATCCTGTTGTCCGGCCTCACACGGCATTTTCTGGGCCACCGCCGTTGCCACCTCGAATTGATGCAGACTGGTCAAATCCGGCGGTGTATGGTTTTAACAAGCTTGTGTCGGCGCGTATGATTTTTCTTTCTACTTTGGAAGCGAAAAAAAAGCTTTTGTCGGCGCCAAAGAGCATATGGATAGGCCCTTAAGACCATGGAATACAGGGATGTGAAGTTGAGCTTAGAGAGAGAGAGAGTAGATGCGCTGTGAAAACATTGAAATTGAGCTTAGAGAGAGAGAACAGATGCGTGGACGAGCTCGGCTCGAGCAATTATCGAAAGGGTGAGAGAGATAACGGTGGTAATGGGCTGGGTGGCCGATGCCCAATTGGCCCGGTTTGGTATAACTATGGCCGCCCAATATAGGGGTGGCCTGGTTTAGCTGAGCTAGACCCTCATTTACTATAGCTTCTTAAATTTTATTGGCCTGGCCTGGCCTAGCTCGGTCTAGATCGATGGGCCAAGCCTGAGCATAGATCTCCTTAGTTGGTGCAGGTTCAGCACGTTGCTTGTCTATCAGGAAGATAAATTTTATTATTTATGATTTTCATGTTAAAAAATTATTTTTTAAAAATTAAAATCAAATTATATTTTAAAAATATATTTATTTTCGAACCCGCATATCTACAAGGCCGCATAGAAACCGTCGTGTCCCTTGAATATTGATGCAGAAGGGACTGAGAAACAAAGAAAGCGAGTGCAACTTAAAGACCTAGAGAGATATGAGGACTACGAGGTAGAGAGAGAGAGGAGACGGGTGCAAATTGGGCGTGTTGTGGTCCCACTTATTTTGGCGTGGGGTGGGAGAGTTGGAATCTTGGAATAAACCCCCTTACATATCACATGGCCTCAGGAGAGTCGGGAAGAAAAGTTTAAACCCGAATTACGAAAGTGGCCTCACATATTTTCGGTTAAAATGTATCGATTTGAAAAGAGAAATGATTTTATAAGACCCTCCCCACACTTATGATTTGAAAGGACCATTATTAAATTTAATACGGATCTATAGAAAAGTCAAGTTTGATATTTATGTGATAATATTTTTACAGATCCATATCAATTTTAATAGCGTTCCTTTAGAGTCCTGCATACATGTGTAGAGAAAGGTCCTATAAGATCATTATTCATCTGAAAATATATGGTAAAAATATATAAAAAAGAGGGCTGACGTGGGCCGAACGAGCCTAGCTCGGCCCACGGGCCAACATCCCCACTTTTTTCAGTGTTGGGCTAAAAGACAGGGCTGGTATCTAAGGGTGGCAACTGGTCGAGAATTGGTCGAGTTCGGCTGGACTTGGACCCAAACCCGAATAGATTTGGATCCAGGTTTTGGACCCGGACTCGACACGTTGGGTCTAAAAATTGGACTCAAACCTACATCCATTAGGTTTCAAGTCTGTTCCATAAAGTCTCGGGTCTATTATCACTATCACTATAAGCTTCTTTTTTTTTTTTTTCCCCCTTGTTTTACCATCATATACCCATATTATTGGCAACAAGGTTATAATCACCCGCTATTAGATTTCAAGCTGTATGATTTGTCATTTAATAGTTAAAGATGATTACTAGTTCTAATTATATACGATCCTTAATATACCCAAATAAATAGGACCTAAAGTAAATTTTTTTATCTCCAACAGTTTACGGGTATGGGTCGGGTCCAGCTGGACCTAGATCTAGACTCGTATAGTGTTTGGGTCCACATGCCTAGACCCTTACCTGACTCGTGCGGCAGGTCCCGGGTCAAGCCCGGGTCCATTGCGACTCCTACTGGTATATTTCTAAAATTACATATAGATAAAAAAAAACATTTATATAAGGTTGTAACCTTAAAATGTAGAATTAAATATGCGCCTAAAAAATTCATCAGAAAAAATTGTTTCAATATTGAAAAATCATCTAATTGATCATCTCGATGTATCTCGACATCGAGATGTATGAATATGAAAAAAATAATAATTTGAATACAAAAAATAATGCATCTTACAACACATTATTTAGATCGTCTATTTTCAAGAATTTCATATATTTATATATCTACATGATTTTATCTCTTTTTGTAGTTAAAACTTTTATAATTAGATATGAAAATAAATCTTCAGAATATCTTAAGAATTTTGTACACAAAAATTATCAGAAGTGTGCCTTAATTGGGTTTTTTAAGGTTGCAACCTTATAGAAACGATACCCATAGATAAACGGCATATAATGTAAACTATCAAACTTTCTATTGAAATAAAACATGTGGTGTGTATACGGTGGTCTAGAATTTACAAAGTATACGATACACATGCATACGAATGCCCATAAGGCAACAAGTCTTTTTTTTAATATAAAGATTCATTATCGATGTCCATTGGATGGGACGTACAGCGGATGGCCGTATGCAGTAAGGCCACGATGGTGCATACGGTGGTGCATTTGAGTAGTGACAGTGCACGGCAACGATTAACCATGCTCTATCAAAAATCTTATTGTCGTCGAGGACTGAATCTCAATATTATCAAAGTAATCAATCCTTGGTCAACTTTCTCTAATGAATTGAGCTCGACTAAATGAATTTTGGTATATTATTTTGCTATATTAAAAGCTACATCAGAAATGAAGCTATAAATCTCTATATTTTTTCGAAATACTTTCGAGGTTTCTCTCTTTTTTTTAGTCCTTACACTTGAACTAAGTTATGCTTTTTAATATGTGCTGTATTTTTCCATCATCTATTCACTTCAACTAACTTACACCTCCTAATATGTGCTTTATTTGATCGGTGTCGCGCTTGGTTAGTCCACCAAAATCTTCTTTCAACATCTTCATTTTCCCTACACTTATTCTATTCTATGCATCGTTGTTTTTTGTCCACGTAATATTAAACCCTATAAAACAAAACTAGTCTTATAGCTGTTTTATAAAATTTACCATTCAGTTTTATTGATTTGCGATAGGAATATCAAATTTCAGTTGTACATCTCTATTTTGTCTACTTTTTTTTTTAATTGTGTAGGATATTTTTTTCGATTTTTTCATTTTTCTAGGTTATATAATGATCTGACGGTCGATACACCCATCTATGTACGATGTACCAAACACCACTCTCAATTAGTATCTTTTCAATATTGTAATCGGGGTACAATTCTTCTCGCATTGTGCAAAAGCATAAAAGGAAATTCCCGTCATTGTACATAAAAGGAAATTCCCGTCATTGTACAATAGATAGCGTCGTTTCAGAAAATGTAATATGATTTTGGGGGCGTTTTCGTCACTATCCTTCAAATAGCAAAAACCGGTAAAGTAGTTCTCTCGAGTCTTGATTATTCTTCCATTAATGGAGAAATTCTAAACCGCGCAAAAGAGAAGCGGAAAAATACAGTGAAAGTCGTGTTGTTGCTTGCTGTAAAACTTTATGTAATTTTAGTGTGAGAAAGTGAAGTGAAATTTAAGGTCGTGTTTTTTACTGTACTTTTAGTGAGAGAAAGTGAAGTGAAAGGAATCACTATAAATGGCTTCTTTAGAGAGATGGAGCCTTCAAGGCGGCGCCTTTGGGGACTGAACCAGAACAGCTCAAGCAATTGAGTTTTCAGAGAGGGTTTATTTGTTTCCCCTTTTTTAATGGCGAAACACGTGGTCTCTCGTATTAGAAAAATACTCTACTTCTTCTTATACTTGTGAAGAAGTGATGGTTCTCTCTTAGCTTTTCTTGCTCTTGCTGTTCTCGAATAAGCCACCCCCTTTTCCTCTTTTTCTATGCTTTATTGGAGCTCTTTTACGCAGAGAGTTGCAGGTTTTCGAAAGGTTTCTAGATCGAGAGTCGAAGCTTTTAAAGGTCTGAGTTTTTTTGCAGGGAGTTGCAGAGATCGGATTAATCCCTTTTGGAATTGAGCCAGGAGGATTCTTAAAAGTTTCTAGGGGTTCGACTTTGTGGAGGCACATGCGTCACAGATCTGGAAATTTGGGCTTTGACTCACCAGGAGAGCTGCAATCCATCAAGAAACTCGACTTTGAGGTTCACGGAATTGCAGGTTCCAGAAATAATAGACGAGTTGCAGGTATGAACAATCTGTTTATAAAGCTTTCATTTTTCCAAATTTATTTATTTTTTTCGATTGAAGCTTATGATTATTTGTGGCAATGATGGTGCTTTCATGATCTGTTGCAGGGGTCAAAGATCTGTAGATGAATCATAGGAACTGAAGAAGAATTAAGAGATTCGCATAACCTTTGAAGCTCTAACAATCATTTTAATACGAAGCTTTCACAAGAAAAGGGTCACCAGAGATGGAGAGATATGAGCTGGTAAAAGACATAGGCTCTGGTAACTTTGGAGTGGCCAGGCTTATGAGGAATAAGCAAACAAGGGAGTTGGTCGCCATGAAATACATAGAGAGAGGTCGCAAGGTTAGGGCATTGATAATCGATCCATACTATGGAGGAATATCATTAATTTATGTTTCAACTCAAAAACTGAGATTGATTCTTTCTATTGCATCTCATCTTCCGTTGTTTTGATACGTGTCGCAGATCGATGAGAATGTGGCAAGAGAGATCATAAATCACAGGTCGCTTAGGCATCCAAACATTATCCGCTTCAAAGAGGTGAGAATTGCTTTAATGGACAAATTAGCATTCACGGTCACTCTAATGGAATCATAGGAGTTTGCCCAGAATTCTGTTTCGTGCTAATTCAATGGTGGAGATAGGTTTTCTCCTGGTACATGAATGGAGGAATTGGGTTTCGTGTTATTTTAATGGTGTAAATAGAGATTCCTGCTACTTTATATGGAAACTTGGGGTTTCTCCTCTTTAATAGAGAAATTAGGGTTTACATTACTGCAATGGTTTTGCAGGTGGTGTTGACTCCTACTCATCTTGCTATAGTGATGGAATACGCAGCTGGCGGTGAGCTCTTCGAGAGAATCTGCAACGCTGGTCGCTTTAGTGAAGATGAGGTATCTTCTCTCTTTATTTTATCCTTCTTATTTTCACTGTAATTTTTTAAGGGTGAGGATCTTAAACTTTCCCTTTCCAATTCGGGGTAAAGGAGGTGGGTTAGTGTAAGGTCCGCCAACGTAAAACTTTGCTAAAAATTTTATGTTGACGATGATGATGATGATTTTGTGATTCTGTCATTTTATTTGAAACTTTTACCATTTCTAGGAAGTTTTTCTGACCGAAAAGCAGAGAATGAGATAAGATTAGGCCAAAATTGGCTTTGAACTGTCATTTTTCTTTTCAGATTGGATTTGTCAAAAAATTAAAGAAAATTAAATAGTTTCTTATCTGTTATTTTATATGGATGCAACAACGGAGACGAGTTTTTGTGGTCCTTTTCTTGGTTATTTTATTTGGTAAAGAAATGAATTAAGTTTTGGTGGTGATTTGACCTGGACTATTTCTTGTTTTCCTATTTGTTTTACAGGCGAGATACTTCTTTCAACAACTTATTTCAGGTGTAAGCTACTGTCATAGCATGGTACGGTTTCTTTTTCATTTGTATGGTGTGGAATATGAATTTGGAATATGAATTTTTAATGTAGTTCAAGATCATGAAATCCCTTTTCTTTAAATATGAATTTTTGTTCTTTGATACAGTGTGCCTGATCACATGATTATATTCGCAATGAAAATATTTCAAGGAATAAATGTCTTTTTTGCCCCTGTTATGGGTGGTGTTGTCAGATGGCTTTTTGCCCCTGTTTGGGTGGTGTATCATATGGATATGGAGAGAGAAAGAGTAGTGAAATCAACTACACCGAAGAAAGTAGTGAAATCAGTCCAGATCTTGTCTGGAAAGTTGGAGAAGTTCCATTCTCTTGTATCTTTTCCTTTTCGGGATTGTATACTATGAGATCATTTATCTTTCATACAAAAATATCACAATTACTCCAAGCCATTTGACGTCAAATTGGATGAGTTAGGGTGTGTCATGAAATTCGAGAACTTTTCTTTTTTGATATTTGAGTCGAGTCAATGTTTTGCTCACAACTACCTGATTTGAAATCTAAAGGACAATGGCAATTGTAACCTCCTTTAGCTAAAAGTAAATAGACTCTTTATATACTTTTCCTTTTCTTAAAGCAAATGACAACAGCTTTTGGTAGCTTTATTTGAAAGGGATTCTCTACAAAGAGACCATTTACCTTTTGTATAAGGAGGTCACAAACATTCATGTCCTTTAGATTTCAAAATGGGTGGTTGTAAGAGTGTCATTGATTAGACACAAAGTTCCAAAAAAGAAAACTCTCGGACTTTGTGACTCAGCCGAAGCTATCCAATTTAACATCTAAGGAGTGGGAATAGTTATGACCTCCTTGTCCAAAAGGTAAATGGTCTCTTTTTAGATAATCCCTATAATATATGAGATATAGTTTAGTTGCTGAAATCTGGAATTGATTTTTTGTTTTCAATTTATAATTTTTTGCTAAAAGCATAAAACTTGGTCTAACATAAAAAGACTTTTGACTTGGTTTCTCTGGCATTTTAATTTTTTTTAGCAAATTTGTCATCGAGATTTGAAGCTGGAGAATACTCTGCTAGATGGCAGCCCTGCTCCTCGCTTGAAGATTTGTGACTTTGGATATTCGAAGGTAGATCTCTCTCTCTTACTAGATTTTATCACATTCGAAATGCATCCTTTCAGCTTTCTGTGTTGTGATGATTTCTCTGTTTTTGTAGTCATCACTGCTGCATTCTAGACCCAAGTCGACTGTGGGAACTCCTGCATATATCGCACCTGAAGTTCTCTCCCGAAAAGAATACGATGGCAAGGTGAAATTTTGGTTAATGTGTAGATGGTTGTGGCAGTATGTTCGATGCTCAAACCTAATCGCTATATACTGAATTTCTTCTTCATTTGCGTGAACTGCTTCTTATTTCACAAAAGCCCTACAATTTTTAAGAGGAGCTGTTCTATCAAATTTCCTATTGAAACTTCTCACTTCACAAAAAGGCCTACTTTTTTTTAAGTAGGGTTGTTTTACTAAATTTCCTACTGATACTTGGTTAAAGTGTACCCTGAACTTTGAATCTCAGTTATATATGCATCCTATTTATCGTTTCTCAATTCGAGATATTTAAAGGAACTTTATTTCATATAGCTTCGAAATTCAGCCACATATCGGAAGTTTGGTCTTTGGTACAGATCGCTTGTGAAACCAAACCAGAATTTTTAGTGTATGGATATATAATTTTTTGACTTTGCTCTCATTCAAAAGAAGAATTTCAGCTGCAATTTAGATTGCGCCTGTTTTTTTTTTTTTTTGGTATCAGCTACAGAATCCAAGTCAAACTTTTGAGTCTTGGCCACATTATCATTTTTGTGTTTGAATGGCTCCCTAAGCTGTTTTGCACTGATTGGTTTCAGGGTGAGGAACTTGATTTTTACTTAGCTACAAGTCAAGAATTTTTTGATGAACTTATCAGTGCTGTTCGGTTGACTTTTTCTTTTGTTCTTTAATAGTTGGCAGATGTATGGTCATGTGGAGTTACCCTTTATGTAATGTTGGTGGGAGCCTACCCATTTGAAGACCAGGAGGATCCCAAGAATTTCAGGAAAACCATTCAGGTTTCTCTCTCTCTCTCTCTCTCTCTCTCGTAATTTTTTGTATAGTTATTAAAATTATAACTCTCTTTCTTTCCAATGTATTGGCCACATACAGCGTATAATGGGCGTTCAATACAAGATCCCCGATTATGTTCACATATCACAGGATTGCAGACACCTTCTCTCCAGAATATTTGTGGCCAATTCTTCGAAGGTGAATTATTTGAATTTCTGCTTTGAATATATTTACACTAGTCTTTACCATGTTCCTTTTCGTAATTTTACTTGTACATAGAGCATGAAAAAATGATAATAAAGTATTGTTACACCAGTTAGAGTCTTATTTCAATTGCGAATTGGTCTTTTAGGTGGTTTGACCCTCAAAATTCTGTTTATTTCTCGCCTTTGAAAAACTCTGAGAAACTCTCTTTTGAGCATCTTCTAAATTTGCACAGCTTTTTATATTGCATTCACATTCATGCTAAAACAAAATTTTCTTTGATCGTTTATAGTCATACTAAAACTGTTGTTCAGTCATTTTGGTTATTAAGAGATTGTGAAGTATTCTATACTCCCGCTTTTAATAAGCTTTAATGCTACACATATTTCTTGAGCTTGGGTGGAAGATAAGAAACTACAATCCGAAAATGAGACTTATTGTAGCCTTTATAGAAGAGAATACTGAACATGAAAAGCTGCATGTTGATGTGTTCATAGATATATGCATCACTAATTGATGTTTCTGTTATTTCTAATGTTCACACATACGAGACTCAGAAATTTACTGGAATTATACTTTTATGCTCCCGTAGTAGCATACTGTACACGTACTCCCTCAGGCAGAAGACTAGCTTGGGAAGATTTTTTGATCCAAAATTTGTGGGAACCACCTAAAACTCACTATATGATTAAATTCAAAAGAAAAAAAATTGAATTTTGAGTTTTTTTAATATTTAAACCTCACCCTTCAAAGACATTTCTAATCAATCTTGAGGTATTATTTATTCAATCCCACATAATGCAATTAGGAATTATATTATTGAGTATAATATAGGGGGTTGACATTATACTCCCTCAAGAACATGAAATCCTTTGGCTAATAAGCCTTTCTTTTGCTCTCGGCCATTAGGCTTCATACACACACTCATTAAATGATTTCTATCGTAGTAATGTATATCTATAATGGAAAAAGTTTATATAAAGATGCTACATTATAATGTAGAACTACGAAAATCCATCGGAAAAGGTAGTTTTTTAAT